AAAAAGGCTCAGAGGGACCAATTATGCGCAGGGTGAGCCCTGCAGGAGGCAAGAGGGCTGAACTCATTGAGGTCAGCCCAGCCTTCAGATAATTGTTCCAACGGTCGTATGTACAGCCTCAGCACTAGTAATAGGGCCAAGAGCGTTCTTGAAGAGTCAGGCAGAGCCTGAGACTTAGACCGCCTAGACAGGCGTGTGCCACTTTAAGCAGATAAAATCCGGAACATCCAAGTTATAGAACCTGGCAAAGGTGAACGGCGAGGCCCAGCCGGCTGCCGCACATATGTCTGCAATGCACACACCACTAGACCACGCCCAGGAAGAGGCCACGCCTCGAGTGGAATGGGCTCTCACTCCTATGGGACTCTGAAGGCCCAGGGAGGAGTAAGCTAGTGTGATAGCATAAACTAACCATCGAGAGATCCTCTGCTTTGTGACCGGGGACCCTTTGGTGCGGCCGCCAAAGCATACGAAGAGTTGTTCTGACTGCCTGAAGGGGGCGGAACGCTCGATGTAAATTCTCAGTGCCCTAACTGGGCAGAGAAGGTTAAACTCCTGGTCCTCCTCAGAAGGAGGAAGCGCAGAGAGAGTAATAACCTGGGCTCTAAACGGCGTGTAGAGCACTTTAGGGACATACCCATGTCTTGGCTTTAGGACGACTTTGAAGTTGTTAGGCCCAAACTCAAGACAGACAGGGCTTATCGAGAGAGCCTGCAAGTCACCTACTCGCTTAACCGATGCTAGCGCCAGCAGCAGAGCGGTCTTCAGCGACAGTGTTTTTAAGCTCGCAGACTGGAGTGGCTCAAAGGGGGAGCCTTTGAGGGCTCTCAGGACCGTGGGTAGATCCCATGTAGGGACCGTGAGGGGCCGGGGTGGATGGAGCCTCCTGGACCCCCTCAGGAAACGGACAACAAGGTTGTTCCGGCCCACCGACTGTCTGGCTATAGGAGCGTGAGAAGCTGCTATAGCTGCCACATAGACTTTGAGCGTGGAAGAACAGCCCTTGTCCAACAGCTCTTGTAAGTAGGACAATATCAGCGATATGTCACATGTTATTGGGTCCTTGCCACAGGTTTCACACCAGGCGGAGAAAATCGACCACTTAAGGGCATAGAGGCATCTCGTAGATGGGGCTCTAGCCTGTGAGATAGTATTCAGGATGCTCTCTGGTCTGTGGGTGGAGCACTCCAGCAGACGTTGCTCCGAGATAACATGTCTGCTCCTTGGTTCAGTACGCCGGGTACAT